CAGATAGCCACCCACTCCTTGTAACCCCCGTCGATGAGCAACGGAAAATAAAAATGCCAAAAGGGAGAAACAGCAAGAAACGGTTCGTCCGCTTCGACATCACACGGCGCAAGGACACCGCAAAGTCGGTGTTTAGATTAATTCCCTGCTTCTTTTTTTTTTTTCATTTCTCTTCTCCTTTTTCTTTTTTTTTTTTCGTTTTCTCTCTCTGCCTCCGTGATATTCCAGCAGCGTACCTGACATTCCTATCCTATATCCACCTATCCTATCCTATTCCTATTAGAGATGTAAATGCGGTAATTTCGTAAGGTAATTACTGAGCTCGGGTTGAAAGTAATGCCTTTGAACGAAGGAGGACTGGCATCGTAGTATCCACTGCCCACCGTGTTACTCTGAAATTACTGGATGACGCTTGAGAACACCTTCGTGTTTCCTGAATTAACGTTTCAGCTTTAGCCGAACCGGTTTATTCGTTTTTCCTTCTCCTTTTTCGCTCGAACACGAACATTTGTCTAATTTGTATGTCCCTTTCTGAAATCGTCTCTGCTCTTTCATTACGTTAAGAGCTACACGAGACGGGGTAATGATTTTATCGTAAAATTTATTCGAGATTATATCTGGAACGCCTGTGTCACTATTTTGTAATTTGACAAATATTTATTGTACGGTACGATATCCTATCGTTGACCAGTCCATCATATTGTCATATTCTTCGCACAGTAGCTAGTTTCTTTTTCGATTTCTTTAACTGAAAAGATGTAATATAAGGTCGTTGATCGCGAAGAGGGCCATCTGTCGAAAAATATTCTTCAAATAATTACAAGTTTGCCAGACAAGGAAATATCGAATGGCGAATCATTGCAGCGCGTAGCACAATCAAATCGACAAAAATAAATGCTCCCGCGATTCGACGATCGTAATCTTGCATTGATGGAAATGGGCATCACTTCCAAGAGCTCTCGCAATCTGATGATCCTTATTTTATTCCCTTCTTTGATACCTAATGATCTGGCGTTATAATTCATTGAAATTTTCTAAATGGTGGCTGTTTCACTGACGTTGGAACAAGAAGGCGCAGCGTGTGATTTAAGAAAATGGAGGCAACGTTTCCGATGCATTTCCGTGTGAAAAAATTTACTATCAGCGCTAATGGCTGTGCGAAAAAAATTTACTAATGGCGCTCTCGACGCTGTGGACTTTCCAAAACGAACATTTCTCCTTTGTGCCTTTAGAAACAGCAAGTAGTAAGGATATTTTAAATGGATGGATGACTTCACCCTGTACGAGAATATATTTTACGCCGACGATCACAGGCTCAGCAACAATCGAAAAAGAAAGTCAAAAGTGAATCGAAATATGAAGCAGCTATTAAATGAATCAAGAGTCATTGCAACTTACAATCGGTGATCAATCATCTACAGAAATGTATATAAATTTACTATAAAGTTGGCTAATCAAAAAGAGAGCTTATTAAAAACAATTTTTCCAACTGAATTTAACGACAGTGCTCGACAACAAAGTACAAATGCTTCTACAGTTGTAGCATGCTTTTATAGCGACGATTAAAGGTGGCTGTTATTTACAACCGCGAACAAAGAGGAGAACATGAAAAGGAACGCGAGAGCTCGCGCCACTATTGGAGAGAGAAGTGTAAAAGGTAAAAGGTATGGCGATTTCACAATGCTGAACGACCAGGAAATCACTGAGGGCTTCGCCCGGTGAATCGATACTGTGCCGGGACGTGAGAAATCCAAACGACTGGCGCCCTACTGCCGCGAAATTGAGTCCATTATCGCTCTGGCCAGGTACCCTCCAATACCATCGATATTCGTTTAACGCATCGTTTCCCTGCCAGGAGGGTGACAAACAAGGATCCCGGCGACAAATATAAAATTTAGGAAGCGAGGTCAGCGACAAAAAGAGGAAGTTCGTCGGAGCCGCCACGGAAGTACGGAACAGAGATGGAGAAAAAGAAAGAAACGGTAACGATAACCCATGGCTTTCAATTCTACCACACCTGTGAGGAACTCTTTTTCTATCTTCGTTCTCCCTTGCCGCCGGTTGCCGCAGAAAAACTGCCGCGAGCAAAAAGGCCGAGAGCGGGCGAGGAAACCGAGGGAAAAGTAAAGGTAACTCTATGATTAAGGGAAAAACTTTATTCATGAATTCCATCGCATCCATCATATCCGTTCGAATGAAATCTATCCGCGAATGATTCCATGTCTTACCGGGGTAAAAGGAAGGGGTGATCCCGTTCCGTAGGGAAAATATTGAAATTCCGTAATTGCGCGCCAGCTTCTTTCAATTCTGTTGTCCCTCTCTTTTTCACCGGCTGACTTTGAATAATCGACGCGAGAGAGGAAATGTTGTTGCGTATTTCCTTGGACGCGTATCCGCGGGACGAGAAACTGAATAAAAGGAACGATAATTTACGGAATGGGAGGCGCGCTTACATACATACATACATACATACATACATACATACATACGCGTTGACATAACAGGGTAGTCCGGCTTCACCGGAGAGAGTTACAGCAAGAAACACTACTGGCTGGCTACGTAAAGAAATTGATCAAGGGTTCCTGCGCGCGGGAATAACGTCTGGGAAACATTGTAGATCGCTGGAGACGAGAAGCAGAGGAGAATAAACATCAGGTGGTCAGTTCTCGCACCTTTCGTCCGTGAATAGCGCGGACTGGCCTGGACTACGCTTCGAATCCTTCACAGTTCGCGTGTGTGTTTCTCGTAAGTTTACGCGCCATTGGTCGCCAATCTTTAGAATGAGGCTGGCCATTGCTGAGTGAATTCTCGACGCGACCCGCTCGAAGCGAACAAGACGCCAGAGGAAAAATGCGCCAGACAGTGTAAAAAACGGGCTCGAGGGGAAGAGAAACGAGAGGAAGACCTCCGAACGGATGAAATACCCGTATATAACAGTCACGATCCGAGGGCGACGAATAATCACATTTAACATGTCCAACGATACGCGAACAATACACCGACCGTCCTTCATACAGATATATTACACATTGTATTCCATCGGCAACGGCCGGGCTATAAACGGCGATATTACCGCATAGCAAGCAACCTGAAATCTCACAATGCGACTTAGAAACGCACTATCAAGTATGTCATGGAATTGTAAAGTCACGCTATCGTCCAATCTACCTTTCGCGGACACGGCTCGCGCTTGTTACACGGTTACATATTGTTGACGACTAAGTGCCCGACGACTATGATTGCTACGAACGGACAAATTCGATTCTTTGCCGCAACGCGTTATCTCGACGGGGAGTGATATCTCGTTCTGTCGTTTCCATATACGTGAAACGTAGTACAAAGGATTTTTATCTTTCCAAATTTTATGCCATTAAAAGTCCAATGAAAATATAACGTTTTATCCCTTCAATTATATTCGGAAGTCTCTGAAGAAATCTTTAAAGATCTCTAACTCTGGGATAAAAATATTTCACATACTAGTCGTCGCTCCAGTAATTTATTGTACGGGTAGATATTCCGCCAACAATAACACGTTGCAACAGTACCGTTTCTGGTATCATACTTCACCAAGTATGGAGAGTAAGAGGACATCAAAGTGCGATAAAAACCTCGAACAATAACACCGTAGTTTCTACGCTAAACCTTTCTCTCTATCTCAAACCAGCTTCGAACCTTCACGACAGTCGTCAGATACTATTCACCGACATTGCTTGTCGGCGATCTTGACGATCTCATCGGAGTAACAAAGTATAATGGCACAGATACGACCTTGATACGCAACTTTAAAAATAATTGATGCTTTCGTAAAAATCACGTATCCACTCGTGCTCGACGTATACCAACGTCTTCCATCTCGGCGCGAGAGGCTTGACCGAACACGTAAGAAAGAAAAATCATTCTACTGATGACTCTTTTCCTTTCAACAAGATCTCGGGGGAGCAGCATAAAGAGAAGAGAAGAGGGACAGTACCGGCAGGGAAGATAACCACGAAACTTTCAGTTCCTCACCAATATGAAGAGCCGACGGAGAACAAAACTAGGACAAACTTTAGATGAGAGAATATCGACGTCATCGACGAGAAGAGACACTATTATTCTTCCGTGAAAGATTACGGAAGCATCGAAGAAGCGTAGACTGCGTTTCAACGAGACAAGAATGACGTTGAAGATCGGTTCGAATGATTTCACAGAACTGAATGGTTCTGTTCGATGAATGATTTTTGCGAATCGTCATTGGCTCTCGACAGCGGATTTACATGAACCGCGGCATGTTCGTCCGTCAGTCGTCCAAAAAGGTGACGATAAATTTCATATTCTAGTACTGACCATTTCGCCTTCAAATAATCCTATAATTTAACGCATATTTCGCTAGACATCTGTTTGTACACTTCCTAGGATATATCCACGAAGCCAACTATTTTCATAAACAAAACACGTTCCATCATCGTATTTTCTTCGTCACTTGTTCCTTCCCCATCATCAAATGTTCCCCTTATTTTTCGTTAACGTAGCGTGACATACATATGTATTACGTACGATAAATAAAACTAGAATCTGTTGTCTTAATATGGCTCAAATACGGCTTCATTATTACTGGGAAATAACTCGCCGATATTTTATATGATTATTCGTCTACTGTGTATGTGTTCATAGTCGATTGATTTGATAAACATTTGACAATGTTCGCCATTGCAAACATAAAGATACGACATGTCACGGTTACAAGCATAAATGTATAGCATAGAATATCCAATTTAAATTAATTGAATTTAAATGTGAAAATTTGAAAGAGAGTCTACATTTTAAAATAAACCAATAAAGTAAAAAATAAATTAAAACAGATTCACGAACTAGTATGCACACCATTGTATCATTCAATATTCGAATTCAAATAAATTATATTTAGGTAATAATATAAGTAAAACAGTATTACAAAGAAGTATTACATCGTTCGTAGTAAATTCAAGAAAAATCAGTTGCATGCAAGCTTTTCGACTTACCTTTAGTCGAAAGTCGCTGACGGTCCACACTCGGCTAGCGTAGTCGTTCGATGCCCCAAGGATCAGCGTTCCCGTAGAATCGAAATCGACGCACATCACGCCAGCATTACTTCCAACAAGTATTCCCTTATTCTCTGCAGCACCTGCAACATAATATTCACCATAAATCTAAATTTATTAACAAAGACAACCCCATCTGTTCGCCCATTCTTCTTCCTCTTTGAATTGTTTGTTTATTTATTGCTTCTACATCGACTGCTTCCAATACCATTTGTTCCTCTTTCCGTTATTAATTCCCTTTCAAATCGTATCCTTCCCTCCCTGACCAATCGAGTCGGTCGACTACGAAATTCAAAGGAAACCGCGAGCGTCATTTAACTGAACAAAAGGAATAAAGAGACGAATTAAAAATAAAAGATGCGGCGCTGTATAGAAATGCAGGAAAAGGAAAACGTCGAAGATTGCCAGAGAAACGGGTTAAGCGGATATAACCCGAACAATACGGACGGATGTTTCATCCAATTTGCAACATGGCGCGGAGATCACGTTTAGAGCACTTTATAGCACGCGCGATCGTTCGGTCATAGTACAGAAAACGTTTCTAGCGGCAGACCTGGACCTTAATAATCGCTGTGGCTACGGCCCAACCATGTACTAACGCATCATAAGTAACCTGTTGATTCGTTAACGTACATCATTCAGCGGACAGTGAAGAACCTTTTCAGAACATGTCGCGATACGCTTCGCCTAATACGTCATCTTCTATTCCTATCAACGTAACGTCTCTCTACTCTTACATGCTCTTCTAATATTGCGATACCACGGCCATAAAATAAACGTCAGTAAATTTCGTTAAATAAAACTCGAATTTAATTTAATAATCGTGGCTAAATTTTTTGTGGAATATCTTTTAATTATCTCAATGAAGTTACTTGACGTAATTCGTACAGCTCGTAGCGAACACTCGATTACATCCTACAGTTGGCTTTTTGTTGTCCGAAAGTGAAGTCTCCCAAGCACGTAATCATGAACAAAAGATGGCAACAAAGTTTTAATTGGCCCATTATAGCCAAGTTTTAATGAAATTTTAAAGTGATTTCCGTATCGCTTGATTGGCCAACGTAGCCTCGTTAGAATAAGAAAATTTGATACACATTAGTGTGATGCTGCGTGACAGAATTGTGCGACAGTCAGCATTATGAATAATTATCGAAGCTTCAAAAGCACTCAAACGTCACACATTGGCTTCAAGAGAGATTAATATCCCCACATCGTTTAATATCGCCACGTTTAATCCGAAACTCTTGTGACGTTCAATGAATACGAGTGGCAAACCCTGCGAGACTTGTGACTAAAACGAGAGCTGCGTAATAATTTACACGGTCTATTGCAGCCCAGTTACAAATTTGAATAATGACGAGAGACCACTAAATAGATTGTACACATGGGGATCTCGGCGCCTGTACGCAATATTTGCGTACCGGAGATCGTTCAAAGAATCGTTTACCTTGATTGATCATTCGTTTATCTGTGACACCCGTACCGTGACGAACATTCGAATCGCAGACGACCCCACTAATAGTGCAATTTTGTTTCACTTAATCACCTTTCGAGATATTCCAAAGCTTCACCTTCCTATCGGCACCACCGGTAGCAAGCATCCTCTCGACGGGAGACCATTTTACAGCATAAACTTCTCCGTCGTGTGCAGTCTGCAAGGGTTATTAAACACTTGACGTATAAATTTTGAAAAGTTTCAGGTGCATGCATAAGATAATAATTAATAATAATAAACGTATCGGGATGTAATTACGTTGTTCACTCGAATTATAACAAAGTGATGGGGTATAAAATTGCTTTGCAAAGACCTTCGACATTTAACATTTGATAAAGTTCTGTGATACCTTGTATCATTACTTAAGACTCATTAACATTATTTAAGACTTTTACTAATTGCAAGGACTTGAAAATTTATAGAATTACACAAATTTTTTACGAAACATATAGATTAATTACTAACTTGAAAAATCAACAGAAATACTTGAAAATATTGAAAATTTGCAAACTAGTAGAATTAATGTTATTACATAACTTTGGATTTTATTGGCGTCACTTTCATTAATAAAAATTTATACGTACGTATATATAAGTGTAACTGAATAAGATCGTAAAATGTAGGAAAATATAAAAAATTATGCTATTAATAGCGAAATCCATTATAATAATAGATATTGAAATAAATGTATATAGCTAACAGTTCTCATGCATAAAACGCGCATATCATTACGTATAAATATGATAATATATTCTGTGTAAACTGCTTTAATGTTACAAATATCTAACCAAATACAGGACATTAAATTTCGATGCTATTTACGCAACAGACGCTCATACTAGTTAAAATTGCGAAATGCAAATGCAATTTTTTAGAAATTCATAAGATTTTTATTCGAACAAATAGTATTAATAGACTACTATTTGCGAATTACACTGCGTGTCCTCATTTAAAATCGTATTATAAATGGTATTAAAGTAAAGCATGTGCGTACATCATAAGACAGATTTAATAATCACATCATTATTTTTCCCCTTCTAAATAATATAATAATTCAAATTGCTTTTTACTATTCTATGTACTAACAACTCGATATATTTTTAAACAGAGAATAAACATACTTAACTAACTTAAATAACGTGACATTTTAGTACATTTAACCTGACTATACTCTAAATAATACATATTTCTTATATATACCCAAATAGAATATAACCAAAAATAGATTTTAAGTGAACTGTAAATACCGCTAAAGTACATAATCGTACAATAACGTAATAACGTACATTAATATTCTAGTAACATAACATGCATAAGTGAGAAGTACAATATCTATAAACAGTAGTAATATATATAAATATAAATGTGTGTGTGTGTGTGTGTGTGTGTTCAACAATACATATATTCTGTTTAAACAGTTTATTATTCTGAACACAAGGAACTAACTTAAACCAAACAATATTATCCTGATACCTAACTTGAATAAATATAACGACTGACAGTCTTCCTATGCAACTGTAGAGAAAACTGACTAACAACGTCAGAATAACTGTTTGTAAGAAATTCATGTAAATACATATTTTCTCTACCTATCCTTGAAAAAATTAGACTTTTTAACAGTCAATCTACTTATAAGAAGTAGTAAAAATAGTGTATTTATTTCTCGTTGATTTGTACATAATATGTGGATAAATTTATGTTTGTATAAGACATATGAATTCATTAAACGAAAACGAATGTTGCATATGTACGTTGACATTCTAGTTAAAAACTATATAATTCATATTAGTTTAATTTTTTTTTTAAAGAAAATTAAATAATATTACTAAATTTTGCAAACCTTTATAAAATTGCAAAAAATAAACAATATATTCCCATAATATAAATAATTTTTCTTTCTATAAAAATATATATTTTTTTTTTAGATATTTTAATATTCGATTTATAAATATCACGTGCTCAAATCACTTTTGATATATTACTACAACTTTAATTCTTTTTTAAGTCCAAAATCGTATAAGTGGATAGTTTAACATCACAGCATGATTATTAATATTAATGCAGAAATAAGAAGAAAATAGAATATTTGTAATAATTTCGTAATATAAATTTTTCAATCATTAAGCGTCCAATTCGTATCGACGTTTCTTATTTCGTCATATAAAACATGCATTTTCGTATTACAACGAATTAATAAACATTTGTACTAGAATTTCCATAATAATAGCGTAATGTAAAGTAATTTTATAATTAAAGTAATTTCATAAATTAAAGTTTTGTCAACGTACAAACGTGACGGATACTTTCGTTGGTACTGCTGTAGGAAGACCAGAAATTCCTTCTTTTAAGCTCGATCTATCAGGACTAATTGGTCGTGTGTCACGAGCTGCATCCTCTAACTCTTTTTGCATCTTTGCTTGCCTCTTTCTGAAAAAAATAGATAAATATGTTCATAATTGAATACTGAATAAATATTAATGAATTAAATGAAATATTCTTACATATACTAAAAATTCCTAATATATTGGGAAAAAACCCTTTCTTTTTGATCATTATATTGTTATGTTTCATGCAAAGTAACAATTAGTAACATCAGCGCTTTATTGCTGTTATTTTCTTATATTATAGCAATATATGTCCCGATTAGTTATTATTTTAAACATTTATTGTATTGTTTTTATTAGTTATATTTATTTGTGTGTTTAACGAACATTATACTTAGATATTTATTTAGTAAAATATATATTTAAGCATCTTCTTAATTCTCTTTTTTTTGTTATTTTAAGTTTTCTCACTCACTTTACATTTTTATCTTAATTCGCTATATATATAATAATCACGGATACAAAAGCACAGACACAAAAAGTATGAACATACATGAATGTATGATGTGATCAGCTTCCTTTAACAAATAACCCAAAGCTATATTGAGCGGTAAGCATAATTTCTATCACGTCTCTTACACAGACTTACCCAAATTTTAATATGGTATGCATCAAAAAGGCTGTCGGACTGGAAAAACTCTCACTGAAAATAAAATGTCAAGCATTGTGAAGTGCTAATGTAAAATGCTATAATGAAGGTATCTCGATGAGATCTCTTTCTCTTTTTCTTTCGTTCGCTGTCTTGCTCTGTGAAAAACTTTATATTTTGATATAATAACGATTTGTAAATTTTATGCATGATTGGTTTCAGTAATTTTAAAAATATTAAAATATTATAAAGTTTTAGAATTTCGTATAAGTTTTAGAAATTAATTTTATCATTTAGTTGTTTTATGTTATAACTTATATTTTTAACAATGACATTTCAATTGAATTACTATATAGTATAAGTATTTTATTTTATACTAATTATTATACTCTGTAGTATAAGTATTTCATTTTAGAAATTCAAAATTCGAAATTATGTGAACAAAATTTTATAATAAACATCAAATAACAAAAACACAAAAAAATATTTTTTTGTATTCAAGAAACTATAGAATTATATGAAAATTTAATTAACTATAATAAAACAAACTATAGTATATTATTGTATAAACAAAAATATTAAAAAATAAAATTTGTATGCAATTTTCATGAAATACTCTTTCATTTCGAAAATGTATGACATGATATGATAGAAATATATTTTTTAAAAATGACAGAAAATGATTGTAAAAAAATATTCATATTGGTAAGGATAAAACATCTGAATTTTATTAAGCTGTTAAACATTATTAAAAAACCAAATATTTTTAAATTAGTAGAATAACATGCTAAAAAGGTTTATAATTTAAAATTTCATATAGCATTCATAAATTTGGAGTTAGTGATAGCAAACATAATTGCCAAGTATCAGAATTATCATATTAAATTATAATACTGCAATAATTGACAGAAAAATTGTTTTTTTAAATTATTATTACGAAATTCTTTGAAAAAATCTTTATCTTATTTTATTATAACACAAAAAAAAATTAAAAATATGTTTCACAAATATTATATGTCTTTTATAAAACACACTATAATTTATAATTTATTTAGTTTCTCATATATTTTCACAGTATTTGTTCATATTTATTAGCTTTAACATATATATTCTAAATTAATATAATTGTTTTTTAAGTGTGAGAGTTTTTGCCGACAGACGATACATATTGCTAGTGAATAAATATTCATGATCGAAAGCAAACATTTGCGCATTTTTATTTACGATTTTTATTTATTGTTATTAAAAAATATTTATAGAATAAAATTTATAATATATTAAAATAGGTTCCTTAAATTTAGTTGAACCTATTTAAAAGATCTTGTTTTACTGAATACATAAAATATTCCCTGTCTATAACTTATCTATGTGTATATATATTATATAAGGTATTACTATTAAATTTAATTTTAATAAAATACAATAGAATTAAAAATTTTAGATATTGCATTAAAATTGAAAGAAACTGAATCAAATAATCCAGCACTTGAAAATAAATGATGGAAGAAAATAATAAGCAAGTAGAAATAATCTAATTTGAAATATGTAGCAGTAAAGGATTAAGAATAGAAATTTATTGAATACTATACTACCTTTGCATGAAAATCTAATTTCCAAAGAATATGTTACAATATGTTAACTATTTACAAAATTATAATAGTAAGAAAGTTAGACAAAACACCATCACTTTTTCTAACAATGTATATGTATAAAGAAATTAAATAATGCTTCCTTTAATAAAAAATTAATAGAAGAAAGGACAATTAAAAGAAAACACTAACAAGAAAAAAAATAAATATTGTACTCACTTCAAAAAATTGTCATTCTCTTCATTCACTTTTTCTGCATCTCGAGTTTTGTATTTAATCAAACGTTCTATTAGTTGGCGATTTTCTTCCTGTAAATATTGAAAATATATAATATAACTGACTACTTAACATAAAGACATTGTATATTATATTATAAATACCTGTACTTTTCTAAGCTTTTCTTCTAAAGATGCAAACGCTAGTTGCAAAGCCTGATGTTCATCTTTTAACATTTGATTGACACCTTCTAGCTCTCTTTCTCTGTTAAGGCATTTAGATATTTCTAGACGTAAATTAGCATTGAGCTCCACACTTTCTGCCAAACTATATTATATAATTAATTATTTGAATTTCAAATTGAAAAATTTTCAATTCTTTAAAAATAAGAAAAATATGTATATATGTACCTTATTTCCTTAGCTTGAAGCTCCTTCATCATTTCTTGTAATTTATTATTAATATCTACTATTTGCTGTGTATGTTCTCCTTTCCTTCTATGCAATGTTGCTAGTTCTTCTGCTTGCTTTAAAAGACGAGCCTCAAGATCAGCGTTTACACTTAAACCAGGAGTTCCACTAGCAGCTTCTCGACGAAGAGTTTCATTTGATATTGTTAGCTGAATATTTTCTCCACGTAATGTATTTACATTCTCAAACAATCTGTTGTCTATAAAATAAAACATAGGATTAAGTATCTCTTACTTTATACAACAATTTTTGCATGCTTTAATGTAAATTGTAAACATAATAATACAACACGTTAAAATGTAATAACACCAATAGATTGATAATATATCACTCATATTAATAGAATGAATTACATTAACAAGTATAATGGAAAAAACCTTACGTAAACTAATAAGATCTGCAAAACAATATGTTTGTCTCTTGTTTCTTTCTTGTAATTGTAAAATCAGATTTTTTCTCCAATTATTTTCCCTAGAAAGTGAGGATACACCTGATTCACTCGCGGCCATGTTTAATGTATGAAATATCTTTTTAGTATTGTTGTAATATAAATTATTTGTCTTTTCTTATCAAAGTTGTATAAAAATCATTTGACAGAAGAACAGATGGTAGATATTTTGGCAACCTTCAACATACACTGTTTTATCACGAAAAATTTAGGTTAATAATGTTTCATTTGAATATTAATCACCATTAACATCAAAAACCGTCATACAAATCACATGACATTCATATTTACCACGAATATTTTTAATTATGAAAATAGCTATTCTAACCTAAGTATACCAAACACTACACTGCTACCCTGAAATTGCCGACTATTCGAAATATCGATATATTTCGTTTGCGAGATTTCATTATTTGAATTTCAAACACAATTTCATTCAAGTCGATAATAGACCGTAAAATGGCAGTCAACTACGTCATATCACAATCTGTGATCAAGTGTGTGAATATCATAAATAAATTAAAATAAAAACGTATTTTTTATCCAAAGTCAAAATGGAACATTTAAATATGGAAAAAGTAAACTAGTTTGCGGCGGATGATGAAATAGTTTTCTGTACTGAGTTTTGTTCAACTGATATCATATCCTATTTATCTAAGTTTGATATGTATGTTTCCTTCGATAACTTTACAAATTTTTTCGATTACTTTAAAAATTATTCAGGAATAAATATCACATTATAATAATCTTTAAGTAGATTATAACAATAAAGTGAAATATAAAAGTAAATATTTTTTTATTTACGTCTTCTGTGGTAAAAAAATTGTGTTACTATGAAATACAGAAACAAAAACCAATGTTGTGAAAGAAAATCAAATAAATCCATTAATCCATTAATTAATAGGTATAAATGTTTTTTCAAATTATGTAATTTTATATTGATTCAGTGTTAGGTGCAAAAAATTGTAATTTTTATAACTTAATATAAAAATAGTAATCAAATAATTAAAAAAGCATTAAATAAGCTATGTATATTAACTATGTATATTAACTATAGACGTCAACCTGATCCATTGCAATATGTATTTTATGCTATACTTAATACTGATTTACATATGAATCAAGGAATAGCAGCAGCAAACGTAAGTGTAATGTAAATTTAAATCATTTAATAATCATTTTGAAATAAGCTTAAAAATAATATTGCTTAAATAATATAATTATGGTAATTAATTTTAGATAGCAACTGGTTTAATGTTCCTTTATGATAAATTGAAAACTAACAATGTGAAATGTCAATATATTGATTATTGGAAAAGAAATGGGTATTGCTTATATTCTTACTTTTTTTTATATAAAATGGAAAATAAATGTGACACACGATTCATTTAATTCATTATGTAAAGCAGACAAAGAATAATAATTCTAAAAGGATATGATCATAAACATTTGAAATACCTTCAAGAAGAAATAAAATTTCTAGCACTTGGAACATATGTGGTCCGACATAAGTGGAGTCGCAATAGTACAATCAAAGTATTAGTAGTTTTTGGACAAAAGGAACATTTGCAAGAGGTTTTCGAAGGATTAAGTTATTTACGATGATAGAAATTGAGAAAAGAATAAATCCGTAATTTTGGATATTTATAAATAAAATTTATCTTTTTAATATACACATATTATCATTGACTAATTAGGTATCATATATGTTAATGTATTTTTATTGCGAAATATAAAATACTTGAAACTTAAAACATGCGGTATCAATTAAATAAAACGTGATAAAATGTAATTATAACTCTATCATCTAATTATTAACTTTAGTTAGTGATCTAATATATTTTTATCAATATGCTTAGAGATTACAGATCCTTTATCATTTGACTGTCGTTCCCAATTATTATCATTATATTTAGCAATAACATTTATTGTAATCCTTAGTCAGTATTGTAACCACAGACAATGCTTTATCTGTGATTATTGAAATAAAATTTTAAACACCATTTTTCTATTAATAATAATTAAATGAAAATAACAAAATTAATTACAATATAATATACAAAAATTCTTATATTTAGCTCCGAAGTATCAGTACATTCATCCCAGAGAATAAGGAAGTTATGGAAAACCTTGAACAAAGTGTGAGATATTGTAATTTGTTGTAAAAGTGGAAGCTTTAAAAAATTTTGGAGAATAACTTTAATGACTTTATTAAAAGTTTTATTAAAAGTTAATTCAAGTATAAAACGTTTGAATATAAGAATTATTTTATACTATACTACACAGGCGATCATATACCTCTCCTGTGACTACACTAATCAAAATGCACGATAAAGGAAGCTGCGCAAAGACGTATTGCGCAGAACGTTCAAATTTGTCCGTTATAATGTTCCTTCTCGAAAATTATTTATCAAAATGTACGTAGATAAGTATTACTTATTATCCATTTAATTATCCAGTAAAAAAAGGGGGGAATGTATAAATTCGTCTAATTAATTAGTATAAATCAAATAATCACTATAGTTCTATAAGAAGTATAGTTCTATCGATATTATTATTACTTACCGTTGTACCCTTACGAATTTTACAACGTCCCATCTTGCAATTAATCGATTAATCTGTCTAAAAAAAAAGAAAAAATTTCATATGAATGTATAAAAGAAACAAAATGTATAAAAAGGAAATAATGATCAACGGTCAAATGTCGCTGCTGAAGCTCATAATACTAATGTGATGATCAAAGAAACAAAAATTAGTTTTATTATTAAATATATGTTATTTAATTTGTTATTATATCAAATTTGTTTAATTTGTTAAATATATCAAATACGTACGTACCTAAACGAAATAATTAAATGGCGAAAGTTCATGTAGTTAATAACCGTTACCCGCGATAACACATCTTAACGACGCGAATTTCAACAATGGACTAACCCTTGCGCAACAGGTTTGCGCTGTTAATTAATTTGGTAGGGTGGGGGATGAACATGGACGAATAGGATTCGTGGATTTATGGAAAATCAAAGCATCTTGGGACACCTTAATATAATGCTCACTGTTTGAAATCGTAATGAATTATGTCATTTTAAGAGATATTAATTTTTCTCTTTAGCTGCTAATTTTTTGCTATGCTTGCCGTTTAAAACTAATATTTGCTTGTACATTTTCCAATATACATATATTAATAGACTGATCGCAAGAAATATCGATAAGTCGAACAATCTTAATAAGCGGATTACATATTTCACCGCTTTATGGCGCTGTAATCTGAATTTGACCTAAAATCAGTGTACATATTTCTTATAAAAATATTTTATATAACCTGGACTAGAAGAAACATCTTTTCTTAATTAAAAATAATTAATTTAAAAAAAGGAAAGTGAAATAGCTATACTCGCTGTTCTAAACTATGGAGAAATGAACTGTAGGGAAATGAAATGAGAGAAGAAATCTTTAATTTTGGAACAGTCGGTATTACAGAACATGAAGGTTCATAAAATACTAGGCCCACTTTTATCGTTGCTAAATTCATTTTATATTAAGTATAGCAAGTACAGTGAATATATTATGATACCATAAAAATATTTGTGACAATATTAAGATACTATAAAAATAATTGCATTAATACTTGATTGTAACAATACTTAAATTTTTTTGATAAAGTGCAAGAGTTATCATCGGAGTATGTCGGTATTTTACAGGTGAGAATGGTGATATAACATCATTGAATATCGTAGGTGCGCTGTATCGTAACGTTACATACAGTTGGCAAATATTACAGTCGGGGAAGAGAAACAAAAGATACAGCGTGTTAAAACGCCAAAGGTTGCACGCGAAGCGGCGCCACGCCCGCCCCACCATATGGAGCAACATTCAGAGGGGTCAGAGGAAAGGTAGTTGATCGGCGCAGTCGCTCGCCGCGTTTTATGCAACCAGTCTTGCTTCGGAGCGAGTGAATCTACTCCTCCAGCCTTTGACAGACGAGGAAAGTGTGTGCAGTGACATCGGTGTCTGTCTGGTCGCTTCTCGTTGATCAGTCTTGTTAATTGCACGACCGACTGTTCTGTTGGGACAACCGATTCGGCCAGATCCGGTTTTCTTCGTGGTTGAGTCAGGACACGATCGTATAAACGTCCGTATTACGTATATTGTCGTCAGTTGTGTATGCTGTCTTTGCCGGCGACAGTAAGGCAAGGCTTAAAGGCGGTGTCGGTTGTGTACATTCGGCACCCTTGGCTATCCTACAAAATTTCACCCATCGTTTACTAATATAACTGAGAGGCATACGGGCTGCGTACTCGCGTGTACCGATCGGAGTGCCAGTGTGACGACAATCGGGCGTGCTAACACGGGTGTATTATCCACGGTTGTGTATATGTATATGTGTGTATGTGCGTAACGTGCGCGTAGAGGAAAACGAATTGGTCGCTGTCGGAAGAAAGGGATAGAGCGCGTGAAGAGGGTGGGAGAACGAAGGCGGCCGTGAATCCACGATACGCGGCTACGTTCACGCCGCCGCGTATTCCACACGGCACGACACGAAACATAGCGCACCGTCGGCCCAGGCCTACAGAGAAGAGAGACGACGCGTATCTGAACATCTTACGAATTATTACGAATTCGCATAGCTTTGACGCGCCTTTTGGCGCGTATAGCCTCCTCGTTCGGTCGACTTCTTCGACCTCCTCGCCGCTACTATGGCGGACGACGAGGTTCTCTTCGACGAGGTTTACGAGCTCTGCGAGATTATCGGCAAGTGAGTAACGAACTCGTGAGAAAGAATAAGACAGCTGCGTTAGTAAGTACACTAGTGTGAATCATGCTCGTAACGCTAGAGGGAGAGGGCAAGTGTCAAAATGCGAAATGCAATTTGAAGGGAAGGGTGAAAGAAACCGTAAGATACCGTACGACGTAGCGAAAGGGCATGTATGTATACTTTGACGGATAAACGATACGTAAACGTGAAACTCTGTGTACGCGTGGGCTCTTTGATATGCGTACCGTGTATATGCGTGCACGTATATTGAATCTGGGGATGGTTGCGCGCGCGTAAGCATGTACCGCGTGTACGAACGATGACGTATATTTGTTGACTAAAAAGGGGCGAATGGATAAGTAACAATGGAAATACAGGGAAAAGGTGCGTGTTCAGTAAAAAGCCTGATCTACATACGTGTCTATTCGTGGAAGTTGTGTTTCAAGTTTTCGCCGATTCTTTCTAGCAACGTGACCCACCCTTTTAATGAAAACTCACGAACCGTACCTTTAAAGTTGATCACCATATGTACAAGAAATAAAATGCTATTATATTTCATTGATGTTGCCCTCACGTAGTTGATAGGTCGTATAAATATTGAAACACGTTTACCTTACACTTGAAGTTCCGTTTATGGATAGTATTAAGTAACTGCGAAGTAAAGTAACTACATCGAATGACAGAAAACAAGTATTTTATATTGCATACTTTTATAAGTTTCATTCTATGAATGGAAAGTGTTACTATCTTATCTGTTGTATCTGTATTGATAAAGATACTAGGTAGTATCGATACGACTACTATATAGTGCATTTTATTCAGGTACGTTTCTTTTAATAAAGAAGTTTAAAAGATTGTATTTTACAATTGATAGCATAGTACTTGTATAATATAAAAAATTTGATAAATTTGATAACAGTAATTTATTTCTTTTTTTAAGTTTTTTTACAACTTTTTAAAAGCATAAAATTCTGAAATTTGTATAAAACAAAATTGTCAGAGGAGTAACTTATTTCCGATATGTTCGTTACCTTTATTTTCCTTTACAATATAAACTTTTTGTTTTGCATTACAGAGTTTTTATATTACACGTTACCAAAGTTTAAAATTTATAGAATAAGTTTGACTTCTATTTTGTCGTATAAATTAGAATTTCATTACAAAAAGTTATAAATTCGTATTTTTACAACTATAAAAAGTTATTTTTTTATATATAAATAAGCATCGTTGTGTTTATTAAAAAAAAAATTATTTTTATATGATTTTCTAGCATAGAAAATAAGAGAGACTTTACACATATATCTTTGTTGAATTTATATAAGAGAAAAAAATTTTAAGATAAAAGATGTAAATCTTTATGATAAAGAATATACTGCAAGAATGAAAAATAGTAATATATATCAGAAAGTCAAAAAACAAGTGTTCTTATCAGTACAATACAATATTCTTTCGATGATTTTATAAAATTTTCATTTTATGAGATAATGCTCTGTATCACACAATATCATATACAACTTTTTATTTAAATACTTGAAAATATGTGTTCTATCGTGTTCTATCACAATAAAATACAACAAAAATAATGGAGTATGAAACAAGTTGAGTAATAAAATACCTACGTGAAACTGCACGATGCACTGAAACTTTATATATTTTAAATGTGATATATCAAATTATACATAGACTACGTGCTATACTATCACATGTTCATAGATAACGCGTTAGTTTCAACTTCACTCTTGCAGCATTTTAAGAGCTTCGGTTGTGTAAAATTCTGTGACAAACTATTATTTGAAATTCTCGTTACGCGACCAACTTTCCAGCAACACTTAAATTCGTGTTCAATTACATTTACGTAATTGTATATAAATTCTTAATTCGTAAGAACGCATTGAAAGAATTGGAAATATGTTTCTTTTCAGATTTATATTATTTTGAACTTCTCGTTATATTCCACTCTGACTAAATTCATATTAGCTTCCCACTAACTGCCTTTTCTAATTCCATTTCTTATTTTCGCAACTTCAATTAATTCGAGTGAGCACTTTAATGAGGAGAAGCTGGAATTTCAGAATCTTCAATTTGCTCAATCTGCAAAATCCTGTGACGAATGTTCTAATATAATCTCGTTACACCGATCCCCTAATAATAACTAAATTCGACGCGTTAATTCATTTTCTGCTTTCCCTGAGCGTATGCTGATTCCTAATGTTGATTAAAAATCCAATTTATCTGAGTGAACGTGTATTGACGAGAGGAATTGGAAATGTGTATCCGCGAGGCGAGAGGAGAAGAAAAAAAAAAAAACGTCGAAACGTTGCAACACATACGTTTCCCTGAGCTCGATCGAGCGACTGCCGAAGAGAAGAGTTCCAATAAATACACGAAATTGCAGTAGCGAGCCTTAACGCTAGCACATACCAGGTGAAATGCAACTTGGCCAGCACTTCTTTTACGATGCTCGTCCTACTTTTCATCCCCCTCGTAACTCAGTCGTCGAGGGTCGTGTATACAACAGCTCTGTGTACATGTTTTCTGAGAAGTTAGAGTAAATTCTTGATGATGGAATTTGCCCTTGAACTTAATTGCAACCGGTTGTCCACTGCGTTGGACCTGTTGGAGATAACGGAAGCAGATGTTATCATGCATTTTTCTTTGTATCTCGGTGTTTGATAGAACGCGTGTATGTTTCTTCATGATGGATTTGTTGATTGAACAAATATCATGTTCAAACGATCAAGTTCAATGTAATGAGATATACTGGACTAGAGAAAGATCGAGGTCAAAGCGGTATGCGATAGGGATAGCGTATGAGTGTACTTTACATGGATTCCTGTAGATTGTATTAGATTCGGTAATTTTTAGATTTGTCAGATTGTGCAATTGAATGATATTCTAGCATTGTTTCGTCAGTTTTATCAAAACGTCATCAGATTGGATGTTGTCTGAATTCAGTTATGTATTCATTGTTGTCAAATATTCTTGGAGAAGTAGATGGAGATAGTGTTAGAACACATATAAATTCAATTAAGATTTCTGTAATATATTTATTAATGATGAACGAGTATTATTGTTCATACTAGGATTTTATTACTATTATTTTCCATTATTATTAATTTCTTGAATGCTCCGTTTTATTCAGTGAGCTTCTTGTAATATCTAACACTCTACGCGCAGAATTACGCTAAATATAATAAATTGGCAGAAGTATTTTTTACAATAACTTCTTGCAGAGAGATATATTTGTCTTATAGAGATTTCTCTTTATGTCGCATTTCACTGTTTTTCACGTACGATGCAACGTTTATGTATTCATCTTAGAGCGTACGTTTTAAGTATAAATACATTACATACATCACTCTATACATACAAAGCCGTCTTAATGGACTTACCTTTCCAAAGGATTATTTGTATCAAGTAGCTCTCTCCGCAAAGAGCAAATTTTGTGCTAAAGTTTCACGATTTGGATTATCCGAATAGGCACTCTACACAAGCTCTATAATTATATCTAAAAGCCAACTGGAACGTTATGACTTATTAATTTCTATCTACAAAAAATGGTCTTCCTGTTTTTTCTTTTCATAAGTATTGTATGGATAATTTAGTTATTACCGAAGCAATAGATGCGCCATTTGTTTCTTCCAAGTCTTTGGCACGTTGCCAATTGTTGTCGATGATGTTTTAAGTTCGATTCTGCTTCATTCACATAAAGTATCGTCGATCTTGATGAATCGTTGTATTTAAAATGAGACGATACAAAATTACCATTACAAGAATTCACGAAATACTTTTGACGCAATATTTTGTGTTGTACGCTTCCTAAATATATCTATAAATAGTAAAATTTACCTTTTTATATTATCAACATTGCTTGTTTGTACGAAATATAAATGGAAAAATTTTAGATGAAAATCACAGAATTCTTTCAAAATTATAATGTTATCATCAAATATACTCTGAAATTAAATGCATCTGAGGTCAATTCGTTAGAAAGTTTTTCATTCGAGATTCGTCAAGCGTTTCCCATTCTCTTCCCGTTGATGTATCGCGATGTCCAATATAGTTCCATTAAAATATCGACCATATCCGACTTTGATTAGCCCTGCAATTGATGCTCGAAGAGATTATAACAAATCAGAACGAGATTTCTCAAGTGACATTGTCGTCAATCGATGGTGGAATTTATGTTTTACAATAAATAAACGTTTAAGACAGTTGAAGTATAAAACGACGATCGAGTACTCTCGAATTTCCTGAGTATGGATTCCAAAGCGGTTCTGTTAAGGATAAATAGTTAAGCTGCCCTTTGCCATTATCATCTTTGAACAGGATATTGATTGTATACTGGTTCACCATTATCCGCCATGGTCATTAGCCCATGAATGACTGTATAAACTTCGATGGCCTAAGAATAGTTTAGAACGAAACTTCCACGTCCGCCTCTCTAGCTACCTTCATTGATGGTATTCCATTGAAGAATGGCATTTAAGTAGGAGAAGCTAGCGTTGTATTCGACACTGGACAATCACATTTGATCGACATGGTCCATTAAAAAAAAAAAAAGACGCTAGACATCTTCTTGTGCCGTGTTTAGGTTAAAAAAAAAAAAAAAGGCAGTTGGGAAACATTCACTTTGTAAATTGCTACTTTATTTTGTAAAAAAAAAAACAAAATATGAGTAGGTTGTCAGCAATGGTGGTTTCGTTAGCAAATAGAAAATTATAAATATAGTTATTGTAGTATACAATCATATAAATTAGATATCATAAATTAAAGTTAAAAATTAAAAATTGTCAATTGTAATAAACCGTATTATGCGGTTTTACATTGGACTGAAGCCAGATTACTTGGCACCAGATGTTCTATAAATCAAAACAAAAAGGCGAATTTAAAGATAACCTCGCGTCCTAAAGTTTTATTTCATTAGCTCGTCAATTCATCGTAATATTTAGTATTCAACGTAAAAGTGCATCTGCTGCTAATATTAATTAATTTTGAAT